AAGAAGAGTATGCTTGTGAAACTTGGGAGTCTGGATGTGCAAGAGGAGCTTGTCGAACCAAAGTATGAATTGGAGGTGCTGCAGTTACGGCAGAAAGTTGTGTAAAAGTAGTACAAGAAGGTTGTTCGGTACTAATCGAGGTTCTTTTGTTTAAATAAGACATCTGATTTGTGCGAGAAGCTTAGTGTTGAGGAAGATTATTAGTGGCATACTGTTGCTGCGATCGTTTCTCCATATGCCTCAGTGTAGCCCTGAACAATAAATTATCAATGTCATTCATTACTACAATTCGATCCATTTCATCGAAAGCTTCTAATTTCTCAGCAACCAACCAATACCAACCAATAAACATGGCAAAGGGTATGTTTTGGTTGTTCAGTGTTTACAGCTGTTTTGAATATCTTATACGCTTCATCCATACGTTTTTCAGCTACATCTACAGCCTTTCTTTTTTTATTTTTGGCAGTATGTGTTGGTGCCTTGAATTGTGTTTGTGAAGTGATATTACACAGCCCTGCCTGTGTGTTTGGATTTAAAGTTTCAGTAGGCATGTCTGCTTCATTGGTTTCGTCATGGGTTTCGTCAGAGGTGACAAATGGTTCAGTTTCTTCGTAGATATTCTCAGTACTGTCATCTTCCGTGGTGTTCAAATTTTCCAACTCTTAGAAGAAAGCACATCAATTAATTCGAAAAAGTTCCTAATTATGTATATTTGTTGCAGATGCCAAAATCTTCGCAAGAATGGAAGCAAATGAACAGTGGAGCATAATTTTACAATTACAAGCAAACATTCAGTGTAGTTTTCATGGCGCTAGTTGATGCTAATTACTTTTTACATTCGTGGACGTTGGATGTCAAGGTCGTATCAGCGACGGTGGTGTGTTTCGTAAACTTGAAGAAAATGCTTTGATGATTCCTGAAGATGAACCACTACCTAATTACACTCGCACACCTTATCCATATGTATTCGACGCAGACGATGCTTTGCTTTAGGGACCCATTTATTAAAACCATACCACGGACTTCATGCGAAAGGCACTGATGAAAGAATTTTTAATTATCGCTTATCACGTCCTCGACGTATTGTTGAAAATGTATTTGGGATACCTACTTGCATCGGTTTTTAGAGTTTTTAGAGCACCTATGTTACTTGAACCAGACAAAGTATCGATGATAGTCATGACATGCTGTCACACTTTATTCACCACCAGGTACTTTCGATACGGAAAAGGACGGTCAAACTTTGCCTGGCACGTGGCGTCACGGTAACTAAAATATGTCATCGTTCCTGCCACTCAAAAAGTCACCAAGAACGGACGTGAAGCTCAAGAAATACGAAATTAATTTTGCAAATATTTTAAACCAACAGGAAGGGTCTCATGGCAAGACAGTTATTGTTGAAGTCTCATATTATTAATAATGTATGATATTAATAAAAAGGTATATTTTTACTTACCTCTGTGTTTTGGGTATTTCTGGGTGTAAAAATCTGGCCATTTTTTCGAACGCAAACCAAGTAGGCCTACAAACTTCTACGGCACCGGATCCAGTTCCAGATATAGCCTTAACTTTTTTTAATGAGAGGCCGAAATGTGGCCATTAGCGAATTTTTTTTTCTTCAGTTCATTTATAGTACACTGGACAGATATGTTATCTTGTATTCTTTTCCACGCATCATTAACTGCATTACGATTTNGATTGAACTTTTCAATTTGTTGTGACTTTCACTTGTTACAGTACTTAGAACTAGATTTAATTTCAACATAATTCGATGGTAGCATTCAATAAAACATACCACAAGAGATTACTATCAACTCAAATTAGTATATATTTTTGAAATCTACTCTATGAATATCACCATGTGAAAACAATTTTAGCATCTGTATTGATGTCCTTCAAACAAGCAGATTCATTTTTGAGATATCACCCTTTAAGGAAACAAGAAAATGAAGGAAACGTCAATTATTCTGGTATTGAATATTGTTCTGAATTATCCCCTGAAAAAATAACGCTGATCGACGCTGGTCTTCTACGATCGACTGCGACTTGATCGAGGTCACGCTCAGTCCTACCTCTCTTTCTCTCTCTCTATTTCTCGATATTTCTGAAATACCGCATCTATTTGAAAATCGTTCCAGGCCTTCAAAGACTTCCATCGAGATATGTAAGCATTACCACGACACAGGGAAGCAGTTTAGTTAGAAAAATGCAGTGTGAAGTGAGCTAATAAGAACAGAAATTTGAGCATTAGTCTGAAGTTCAGGTAGAGTTTTTGTATTGCATAAGAAATATAGTAGTAAAATCAAATTTAGTTTGATTGTACAGTATGGTCAATTATTGTCGAACCCACGAATAAAATGTAAAATTTGGTGTCAGAAGTAGATTATTTGTTTTTCCTGTTTTATGATGAAAACTTCAGAACACCCTAGTAATTCCACGATTACTTCAATAGGTAAGTTTTCTATCTTCCAGAACCTCGTCTTCGGATAGCGTCCTCTGTATGATTTGAAGTGCTTCTACGACAGGAAGAAAAAGCCCTCCTGAAACAACTACTTTCATATAAACATTGAATTGCACGGAAGAAAAATTCTTTCGAAACAAATACTTTTATATGAACACTGAATTTCTCTACTCAGTATGTATTCCAAGCATGCGTTTTGAAATCAAAATCAGATATCATTCACAGGATCATCATCGATGACAGAACGTAATGACATTCATTCGCTTATTTGATTAAGTTCCAGCCATAGGAATCTTATTCAAATTGAAAGGGGTTAATTTTTAGAAGGAAATAATTTTTGGATTATGGAATTGATTCAGATACCATTCACAGGATTGCTACGTAATAGATAGTATATGTAAAAGGTAAAATTTTAATTACATGGAACACTGTCATCCTTACTGGTAGATATCCGATGTTTCGCCGTGAAACACTTGCCTTATCAGCTCTTCAGTACCTACCAAATCTGGATAACATTATGAGAAAAAACACTCAATTCATGCATAAAATACAACTTTATCTCACGAAATTAGTTTAATCTACTCGTCATCGATGACAGAACGTAATGACATTCATTCGCTTAGTTGATTGAATTCCAGCGATAGGAATCTTGTTCAAATTGAAAGGGGTTAATTTTTAGAAGGAAATAATTTTTGGGAAAGCAAAGGTTTGGCTTTCTACTTTCCCGTCTTGATACAAAATATATGAGAATCTTCCAGAGTAAGAAAGGAAGAAATCAATTTTAAGATGGGGAAGTAGAAAGCCAAAACCTTCCTTTCACGAAATTTGAATGTTTGCGTTTTTTGATTTCCAGAGATAATTCAGCAGATTGAATTTTTATCCTTTATTTTCAAGTAACATGGAAAACGCAATAGGTTTGCTTGGACAAGTATTAGATCTGTCAAAAATCTCCGGCTACTAAAGAAATTATCCTTTTGTAGTTAGCCAAATAACACATAAAATTCAGTCTTAACATTATATTGTAAGTACAGTTACAATTTATTGTTAGGTCCATGCACTGAGAAACTCAGTTTTAACTCAGTTAAACAACAAAGGTCTGGCATCCGAAGGCTCTTAGATTATTTTACTCTGATTGAATGACTCGCCACGAGTTTCAAAACATGCTATTGAGAGAGCCCCAAGCAGTTTAAAGGAACGCATTTTCCATGAAATTGACATATGACGTTAATACCCAGAACTCTTAAGTTCTTCGAGCTATGTGAGCGTTCTAAGCATGATTTTCATATGATTGTCTTTCTCTCTCGCTGATCTGGTTGGTCCCTAGAGAAAATGAGAGGACATAGGAATACGTTAAGAATTCAAAAGCACCAACAAACTTCTTATATCTAAAACACACCTTTAATGATAGAACCTCAAATGTCATTTTCCTTTATTTTATCAACTGCCAATTATATCCTTGCAATTTGAATTTTAAAGAAAGACAGCTCGATTATAACGTATAACGAAAATCTTGAAAAGGTTTTTTTTACGTGATTTTACTTTATAGTTTTTATTTGAAAATACATTTTAAATAAACCGATTTGGTTTTCGGTGAGTAGGTATATGGAATAAGTTTTTAATTTGAAAATTAACATTTTTTCATTTCAGTGCACTTACAGGATTGTAGGTGCCGAAAATACCATAAAAATGGCAGATGTGTCGGTTCGGGTTGCAGTAAGAGTAAGGCCTCTAGTTTTTAGTGAAATTGAAAGAGGATGTAAGGAAATTCTCGAGGTTGTGGAGGAAAATGACCAAATTGTTGTAAAAAGCATAGATAAGGACAAGGCTTTCACTTACAATTATGTTTTGTCAGGACAATCCGAACAGATTGAGTTGTATAAAAGATGTGTCCAACCTTTAATTGAAAATCTGTTTAAGGTAAGCACTAATGCTGGTAGAATAATATATTGTAGTTGAATAATGTATAATTTATTTGATGTTACCCTAAAATGGTTTTAGGGGTACAATGTTACTATCTTGGCGTACGGGCAAACTGGTTCAGGTAAAACACACTCGATGGGTACAGCATATACAGGTGAAGAAGATACAGGAATCATCCCAAGAGCCATAGCAGATATTTTTGAATTTGTTAACGACAATTTTGTATTTAACTTCACTGTAACTGTTTCATTTATGGAACTCTACCAGGAAGTTCTATATGATTTGCTCTCTACAAAAAGTAGGGATCAGTGTGTTGTTGAATTGAGAGAAGATCCTGTCAAAGGTAACCAACTTATTTAAGTCTTAAGGTAGAAATATGCAACCTAAATGACATTTTGTTGAAATAATATTTTTCATGAGTTCTTTGTAGTCCTGTCATATGCTTATTTGAATGATTTAAAGTTCATCTCATTTAATTCATTGTTTCTATCTACCAAAATCGAATTCTAAAAACTGGAAGGTGTTTCAGAAATTTGGTGAGATGGTATGCTAATAGAACAAAAATGTCAAGTGTCATAACGAATATGTATGCATATATATTACTTAATGTTTGTTAGTTATTTAGTTATGAATAAACTGACACATTACTTGATAAAAATTGAAACAGTATCCATGATGTCCATGGTAATTATACAATTTTCACAGTATCTTCACACAGTAGCTACATAGTGGCTTCATAAATTAAACTTTTGACACTAACTAATGAAGCTACTGTGTAGTAAAACTAGATCTTGAATAAAATTTATTGGGAAAATTGGATAATGCACGGATGGATAAATATTTAGTGTTACTTTAATTTAAGATGCACATGTTTCCTTTTTCTTGTAATAAATCAAGTTCACTTTAAACCTAACCAAATCAGTATCTACAACCTACAAATGTTGATAAATTTGAAAATAATAATAGGGTCTTTCAGGAATCCTCATTCCTGGATTAACCGAGGTTAAGGTTGAATCTGCTACCGATGTTTTGGAGGCACTTCAGAGGGGTTCTTGTAGAAGAGCTACTGGTTCTACTGCTATGAATTCCCAGAGTTCCAGAAGTCACGCTATATTTACTGTGAACATATCAATGCAGAATAAAGAAAATTGGTGAATATATTTTTCTGCACTAATTAGTATTTAACCAAAAGTCAATAAACAATTATGTTATCACTAATCTGTATTCTCTCTGATATTTCAGCAGCGAAAATAAACAAGCCAAGCTTCATTTGGTGGATTTGGCAGGTTCTGAGCGCCCAAAAAAAACAGGTGCTATTGGAACAACATTTAAAGAAGGTGTTAACATAAATAAAGGCCTTTTTGTTCTTGGAAATGTAATAAGTTGTCTAGGAGATGAGAAGACACAAAATGGATTTATACCATACAGGGACAGTAACTTAACAAGATTACTCAAAGGTGAATAATAGTTTCATGGAAGAGGAATATATTTATATTTATACACTATATAATTCAACATAGATAATATATTATATATACATATTTCTATGAAAGATTTTGGCAAAAGATATAAACTGCACTGATTTTCTCATTGTTTTGATGTTCAGAGATTCAGTTAAATCAAGTGTATATTTCATTTTATGACATCGTCAGTTGCTACCTCATGATGGTGTATATAACTTTTTACTGTTCAAGATAAACATGCATGCGAAAATCGGAAACTGTGAGAGATACAAAGTCAGTTTAATCTAATCTAAAAAGTTGACCATTTCAGAGCTTATTTGAGTGATGTCAAAATTTGAAAAATTCTGATATTTGAAAATAACCAATATTCATTTGCCAATTTTGTTTTGATTTTTTTCAGATGTTATTTGTGACAGTATTCAAACACAAAACACATCAGTGCCACTTTTCAAGCTGTTCAATAAAAATTTCCTAAACTTTGGAACGTCACTCAAACAAGTTTAAAATGTTCAACTTTTTTTCTAGCTTAACAACTTTGTATTTCTCATGATTTTCGGTTTTACCACTTTCCCTCTTTATCTTGGACATAGTGTATTTTTTTTATTGCTCACTTCTATCAATATCATCTTATTTATTTTGCAAGTATGAAATACCCTCCTCTTAACTTTTGAATGGTACAAGATATCAAGGTCGGATAAAATTTACATAGAAAGTAATTAGCAGTTTTATATTCATTTTGAGAATCTATTTTATGTTTGGATTTATATGCCTTTTTTTATATTTAACAAATAATTTCAATATCATATTACTAATAATTTTTCACTTACACTTACATTTAAATCTCACTGTATGTGTAAATATTATAATAATAACATTTTCTCTGGTGCTGTAACAAAATTTTCAACGTCAAATTTTGCATTTGACTTTTCGTTTTTATGTTTGGATTTATATGCCTTTTTATATATTTTATACTAACTTTGATTAGTTTTTGTAACATATCTATTGCTGTATAATGTCCACATGATTACATAGAAAGTAATTAGCAGTTTTATATTCATTTTAAGAATCTGCAAACACACTAATTTCAAGAATAAAATTATGTTCATTCCAGTAAATTTTCAAAAAGTTTATCATTCACTCCCTTACAATATTGAAGTCTGTTCACAAGCGCCTCTTTTTCTATACACGAGTTCTGAAATGAATTGTGGTTGTGTACACTTCTGATGTCACATATTCCGTCAAAAACATCTAGAAGTGTCTTACCAGGTGATCTAGTGGGCTCATGTGAAGGATCGCGTGTACCTTTGTCAAACACGAATGAGTTTTCAACTAATATCGAATGACAATTATCCAAATCAATGAATTCTAAAGAATCATTCTTTAGAATGACCCGCTACATCACCTGATATGACACCCTTAGATTTTTGTGAGCATTGGTGAAATTTTAGTTTACCTTACACAATCACAGTCTACTCTAGAGCTCATAGTTGTTCCTAAAGAAATTACCCTAATCATTTCATAATGGCAATACAGTGTGTTCATTACGTTTTCAATTTCGTTATTTTCAACAGAAATAGAGTTAACAACTCGAAAACCTTTGAAAACGGTGGAGTATCATAATTTAGTTGATCAGTGAACATTGAATAGAAAATCTCAACCGTTCTATCTAGTTCATTAAGAATACTTCTAAAAATAACAACAAATAACTTAACAGCTTTTAGGAACTCCTAGCAGTGTTGTCAGTAGTTCTGCAATTTCTGACGTATTGTGATATGGTGCTGAATTGTGACAAGTACAAAACTAATATAATATTATTGACAAGTATTTGATCCAGCAGCTAAAACATTCTATAAAATAATTGAGCTGAAACAAAAACTCCCATCATATCTTTCATAGTTTTTCAGTGAATTGAAACAGCTCATAATGAATATCGCCCATTTCCAGGAATTTTCCGGAGAGTGTCACATTGCCAATTTTGAAAATAAGATACACTTCGATCCTACACTATTTTGGAGCTTTCTGAATTCATCTAGGTCAAATAATGATCTGCCAACCACTATGCACCTTAACGTAGTCATTCTTTCCGTGGGCGACAATATAAATTATGTTTTCCAAACAATGGAAAGACTTTTTAAAAACGTTTATTTACACTTACTCAATGAGCTTTAGGACAGAGCCATCGGCTGCACAATAAATAGAGTCAACTTACTGACTGACTAATCTTGAGAAAATCAGAGTTCATATATAAAAAGGAAAAGTGCATTAGATCATTAATGTAAAAGCATTACATCGTTTAGTGTACTTATCTAAGTAACATATGACATATTTATGAGATTAGTAGTACAATGCATTATTCATAAGGCTACATAACTTATATCTAACCTTTTCACTAGCCAATTTTCTACTTGCTACAGTGACAAAATCATTGTCAACAATGTATGTAACTCTTTCTCAAAATGATCAATACGAATCACATTGAATTTAGCAAATGTGAGGTATTCAGTAGCATTTTAGCTCTGCCTATCAAATTGATCCACTACTCTTTGAAAAAATGCATCATTCGGCCAGCATGCATTTTTTGGAATTTGTCTCACAAGCTACAAATCTCCAATTTTTTAAGAACGTTAGTTGAAGTGTTATCGAAAATTATTTGCCAATAAATATTCTGTCTTGCATAGGAACATCTGATCATTACCAGCATGATGGTTGAGGCTTTCGCGGCCGAGGTTTTCAGTGTCACTATTTTTCGGGTTCAAAGGCCGTGGATTTTGGGAATTTTTTCCTGACGTTTCGCTGGCGCGAGTGGCTAGCTTCTTCAGAGGTTTATACATCCTGGATTAATATTCGATGACTGATCAAGTTGGTCGTATAATCTCCATATTTCCTTCCCGTAGAGGTTTTTGACAAAATTGTTAAGGCTTTCGCGACTGAGGAATGTCAGTGTCTTCCTGACTGAAGAAATTTCAAAAATCCACAGCCTTCGAACCTCGGAGATCAATCATTACTTATTTACTTGTATACCAACGTGATATTATGCAAACCTTTGAGGAACATTCTCTAATAGAATCTATCTACACAGATTATAAACTCTTTGACCGAGTTAATCACCCTGTCATGTTATTTTAATTTGAGGCCCTTGGTTTTTCCAGAATGGTTTGTAAAATGGTTGAGAACTTTTTTGTTAGGTAGAACGCAGCATGTGAAAATAAAAAATAATTGCTCAGACAAGATCTTTGTGTTGTCAAGAGTTCTGCAAGGATCCCATATTGGACTATGTCTATTCATCCTTTATTATCAGATCTCTCCAAATCCTCATAAAACTGTAGATCATAATTTTTTGCCGACGACCTGAAGATGTAACTACGAATTAATACACTCGAAAATTGCCACATACTGCAGTTTGATATTGACACCTTGTCATTATAGTCTGCTTAAAATGGAATGTCGCTCAATGCCAGCAAGTGCCAGTTTATAACATTTTCACACAAACGATCCCTGATTCAATACAACTACTCTATTGACGGTACCTACTTGAGCAGAGTTGCTATATGGTACTGCTATAAACTTCATATCCCTAGAGAACAAACTAACGATGAAATGAGAGTCAAGATAAAGGTGAGAACCCTCGAATAAGACCGTAAATACTTTGATCTTTTTACTTTTTCCAAGATGCTTTCAGGGGACATAGACTTTATGAATCTGTTGTCCATAATAAATTTCAGAGTCTCAAAGCAAAGTACTCGAAACCCTGAAATTTTTGCTGTTCCATCAGTCAAACTAGTTATTTATATAATAGCCCAATATTTCGCCTTCGTAAATGATCAAATAGTGCACCTTGCTAATTTACTGGTCAAAATTTAAGCTTCTGTATAACAGATTTTTGCATTAATGCTTTTTTATATGCGTTACTAGTTGTTGCCTGTGACTTCGCCCACTTAGAATTTGGTTTGTGACATAAAGTTTCGTGGCAGACCATTTTAAACAAATAGTTACAATATTTTTTTATTAATCCAAAACTGGCTTCCAACTTCAAAACTGACGAAATTCAATACAATCTGTGAACCCTTCTTTTTCTCCCTTGGGGGTGGAAATTCCTGATTCCCTTTCTTGATGCTTTTTTATGCTATACAAAGAATCTACCTGCATATTTCAAGATTCTAGGTTCAGTGGCTTCGGCTGTACGTCAATATAAGAGAGGGCAACAGCATGTAATTTATATTTTCACTTTAAAAATACAGTAACTTAAACAATATGTCAACTGCACTAAGTAATGAATAGCTTGGAGAATAAAATTGTGTTACGGCTGTCGGACTGAATTGTGGCTGATGGGAGAAATCGTACATACATACTTATTGTATTGAGGGAGGGGCTTCTCACTGGCCATGCCTCAGTCCGGCAGCTGTACCTATAAAGAAATTCGCAAAGTAACACAGGAACAAACTGAAGTGAGTTTAGAATACATTTTTTCTTGAAATTGTGATATTTATAATTTGTTTGTGAATCCTCAAAGCTAATATGAATCTGCTAATTACTCAGAATAGCTAATCTGATTTTCAAAAATTAAAAAATGTTGAATAGAGAATTGAAATATCTATCAGACGAGTTATCACAAGTGATGCAACACTATTGTCTTTTGACATTCAGTCAGTGGGCTTACTTGAAGACGCTATAAATCGAATCTGCTAAAGGAACAATTTGTTCAGTCCAGTCTCAACTCCCGAATATGCGGTTGGTTACCCCATTCACAGGCAGATGGGGCGATGACAAACCTGTTGTTTGTTGTCCGCTTCGGCCTAGTTCGAGGAATGGTACAATGAAGGAATTCGATTTCCAATTATCGGAAATCATCGACTTTATGTTGATGATAGATACTACTTTGTGCTGACGAGTGGCCAAACAGTCCGAAACCGGTCTGCAAGTGTGTTCCAATAATTGAAAATCTATTGCGGCAGTTGTATCGCCAACAGCATAATATGCAGGAATAACTTCAGTGACGAATCCTGCACTGACACCTGTCGGATATAATCCAACGCCCTTCGTGGTATTAGCCAGGGGAGTAGTTGTTTTCTGATAGGTGTCAGTCCATTAATCCTACATTGTAGAGAGTTGAGACTGGCCTGTACGAATTGTTCCTTTAGATGATTTGGCTTTAATTTTTCTCATTAAAAAGTGATAAAAAATTATACTATTTTACATAAACTCTGTCCGACCTTGATATCTGATTTCATTCAAAAGTTGAGAGGGTGGGGGTCTATTTACGTCCGCACTATTTAAATATGATACCTTTTAGATTCTTTGGGAGGCAATAGCATAACACTAATGATCGCATGTGTGAGCCCAGCTGATTACAATATCGAGGAAACACTTTCTACTCTGCGTTATGCAGATAGAGCTAGGAAAATAAAAAATAAGCCTATAGTGAATCAAGATGCCAAGGTTGCAGAAATCAATGATCTGAAGAGAACTATTCAACAGTTGCGGTTACAGATTTTAGGTCAAGGTAAGATTTCATTTATTTATGTACATCTATACTATTACACATGCAAAAAAGTACTTGATTTGAGAGTAGTCCATCACCTGTATTCCTGGTACTTAAACTGCATAAAACATGTTTTGATTTAGATGCACGTATCTACGTGCATCTAAAGCAGTAGTTTAAAGCGAACCTAATATTATTGTGGTGAAAATCTATGATAACATATGGAAGTAACTAAGACCACTTCATGATGAATTTTCACTAAACTAAGTTTGAATTAGACAATAATGTACTGAGCCCAAAATTAGCATTTAATCGTTGCCTGAATATGAATATAAAAATTGAACGTGAATCTGCTGGGCACCTCTAAAAAACCAACCAAAGTCGATTAACTGGTAGCAAAGAAAGACCACTTACACATTATTCATTTAGTTATATGATCTAAGTTTTCAGAACTTTAGTTTTGATATGATTGCAAATATTCACCATGTGTGTCAAAAATTTCACTCAGTTTGTGGAGTGATCAGTTAATTTCGGACAGTAATGTATGTATGTAATAATATTGATTAGATTGGACAATACGTGATCAACTAATGTTTGGCTATAATTAGTAACTGTAGTAGGTGCAGTCATGTGTATACTATGCTCAAAATGAGGCAAAGAAAATTAATTTGATTCCTCAACAAAATTTACACATCAAAATTCTCACTAAGAGTGACTTGGAGACACTGATCTGGGTGTGCCATGAGGAAATGAAGAAACTAACGAAGCTGGGTACAAAGGTACTCGGGCATCACAGGCCATCAAAAAGCTGATGAGCATGCTAGGCATATATTATCAACTACATATATTGGTCCTGAACCAGTTATGAGAATACCAGAATTTATGATACGGGACCAGATAAGAAAAAGGGTCAATAGGAAACAAAATAATGGAAACTGAGGAACTGTTCAACAGAGAAGGTATTGACCCAGCATGATTTGAAGGACACCTGAATAAAATAGGGCTGTATAAAGGAAACTTCAGCTGCAGAAAATGCAACAAGCAGGCAGAGACATTTTATGTGAATATGAGATACCGAAATACGGGAGACAAACAAATTGTGGACAACCCGAATTCTGTCCAGAAAAATATGACAAACATTCAACAAAGGTCTGGTGCAAAATAATAAAGGGAACAAGATTGTTGCAATGGGTGGCATGAAAAGACGGGCGAAAAATCGGAATAAATTCCACGAGGCTACAGTGTTTTCCAGAGACCTGACAGAAATGCATTAGAAATTTTGAATTCTTTGAAATAGGTCGGTTTTATTTATGAAGATCTATAGACTGAGTCATCAGACTTAAACTGGAAAGTACTGAGAAATTGATTAATAACATTTTTAGTGAATGACGCAAATTATTTATTCATGACTATATATTTGAGGTATAACTTGTTTAGTTTTTTAATTTCTGAATAAAATCAGATTAATAACATAAAGTGGATACTCATGGAATTTTCGGCATGTCGGATATCTCAATAATAATAATTCTTTAGATTTCATACCAAGTTACGTCACGTAGTGTCGATTGTTAATACCTACAATCATCTTCGTTACCACAGGAATTTGGATATCGACGAATTTGTCAACTGATTTTTATAACAATTTTGTTTTGCTTCTATAATAGATTTTTCAACTAATTCGTTATAATCTTTAACTTTGAGATTGTATTTTATATTGACAACTGACGAATATCTGCCATTTTAGTTAATTGGTTAAAACTACATTCACTTCATATTATGGCTAATACTTAGCAGTGTTTCAGTTTGAGAAAGACAGTAGATTTAAAATCTTTCAAAGTAATAATGAAAGGAATCTTTCAAACCTTCTTTCATGTTAGAACTTGAATTTGTGTAAGATCCAACAATATCAATACAACAATTTCCTAAAAACATTGCAGTAACATTTTGAAATAACTTGCCCAAAGATTACAAAAAAAGTTAATTTCAACATTAATAAGAAAGGGTGGGTGAAATCAGTATACCATTTCGATAATTTTGTTTTACGTTTAATGATTCATGCATCGTTGGAAATTTCTCATGGAAACATCTGTAGGCTGCAGGAGGATCTAGAGTTTCCAGTATGTCTTTATGTCCAATTCTGATAATATCTTATTGCACTCCGTGTTAGGAATCACACGTTAAAAGATAAGACCTCGTTAATCCATAGCTCGCATAAGTTTAGACTTCTGATGGTTGTCGGTCGTAGGGATGCGATAGCTGGTTAACGGAAAAACAGATTTTTTAAACTTCGCAACAAAACAGAGTAGAAGAACTACTTACTTACATATCAAAAAAATATTAATGCTTAAAATACTCTGAAGTACTTCTATTTCCTATTCAATTTTCTGGTCAATAGGAAATATAGACAATTGTTAGAACAACTTTCATTATGATTTCAGGAGGTCCAATGGTATGTCCAGCAGAGCTAGAGTTATTGAAACGAGAAATAATTGAACTAAAATTGAAACTGAGAGATCTAACAGAACAACTTTCTGCTGCTTTACTTGACAATACTGGTTTACATGAAAAAATTATGATATTGCAAAGTGCCAATGAAGCTTTGAATAATAAAATATGTGCCTTGAAGGATCAATATGATGTTACTTTCAATAACATAAGTTTGGGCCTGGAAAACAATGATACAGAAGTAGTTAAGGACAATTTGTTGAAGTTTCAGCAAATTCAGAGTCAGTTTATGGAAATCGGTGATGAACAAAAAAAGACTGAAATGGAAATTCGGTGAGTTCATATTTTTTTTTGGAATATTTTTATGTGGGAAATTGGACACTTACGTTGTACAAAAATATGAAATCAACTCTTTCCTCATACTTAGATTATTTGAAGAGTATTTATTGGATTAATATAATAATAATGCGAATGCATGTTGTATGATGTGTAATATTACCGGAGTATGCCGCCTTTTCTGCCTCAAATCTGAGGCATAATCATTAGTGTAGCTCTTCCTCCTCGAAAAATTAAGTATGTTTGATTCTTCTATTCAAATGAGAATGGGTAGTAGAGCTGTTATCTGCTCACAGGTGCATACTACATTTTACAATTAATTTTACTGTACTGATAATGAACTGAAGACAAAGAGCCTAAAGTGGAAACCCAGCCGGCCCAGCAGCTTGACTGCATTAACCTTTCTAGATTTTATATACATATACAGTGTCACACATAAAGTCCGCATCAAATGGGATTTTTTCTGTTCATTTCTTCAAGCAACTTTTGATATCTCCATTAGGTTGTTCTTTAAAAATGATGCCAAATGACATGCATATGACCGATCAAGTGATTTTTCTTCCCTTTCGTAGCAGAGGCAGTTTTTTAACTCTTTTCAATGCAATAGGTGGTTCTACTTATGTTTCGCATATTTTCGGTACACTAAAGGTACAAAAAGTCAAGGTCATTTTATAAGATTAAGCAGATTCTCAAATTGACCTCAAATAATTTTTTAATAATTCAAACTCATCTTCGACTGAACCCAAAAGTAACCTAAAGCAAAATACCAATTAAGTTCTTGAATCGGTATCGATATCCCTGCTATCAAGTCAAGTAAAACAAATATTGCACATGTTTTCTGGTAATACTCCTTTCAAGTCATCAGATTCCATTGAAAATATACTTCATTATGTGATAGAACTGGGCGATACTTGATGAAAATCCATAACGTATTCAAGTAACACTTTATTTTGATATGTTCATCAAACCGTTTACAAAACCATGTCACGTGTTTCAGTATACAATAATAGCGTATGTTCATAAACGTGTATGAACACCCCTCAAAAAAAATGTGTGTTCATACAAGTGTATGTATACCCCTGATTACACGTTTCGACTTCTGAGGGTTGTCGTTCGTAAAGGTGCGACAGCTGATTAACGGAAAAACAGATTTTAGATAGTATTGTAAAATATATAATAAAAATTTTCCAAGTAGGAACTGTTTAAGTTAGTCCTATACTTAGTTAAAACTATTATTGAATTCTACTAAGCTAAGGTCTCACCTAAAGATATATTTATTCATTATCTAAATTGTACGATATTCAGTATATAAACCTATTTTCATAAAACTTTAAAACTTATTGAACAATTAAGAAAAAAAAACATAAAAATAGGGAAAGTGTAAAAATATTCAAAGATAATGTATTTAAATTAAACCATACATGATAATAAATAACATATGAAGTAACATTATGGCCGAAATGTTACAGATTCAACTGTGTGATTAAAGCAAATTAAGGCAAACTAAGACATTATTAGAATAAGAACAAGTCATAATAATAATTTACAATATTTCTCAAAGTAAAGAATGAAAGAATGAATATCTAAACCTTATGAAGTTATTGCTCTCGTTCAAATATTTTAAGTATTATTAAGTACTCATGGAGTTAAGAAATTAACAAATAAAAATATTGAAACCAAACATGTATAATCAAAGCACTTAGTTGAATAGATGTTACTTCTGTAAGGTTCTGGAAAAATTGTCTTGGAGTTTCAAGAATGCATTTTTTCGCTATGTTTTTATAAGAACTTCTATTCGACCTTTTTTTGTTTTTTTTTACCTTCCATACTCTGAAAAATATAAAAATTGTAATGGAGAACTTTATACAGGTGTAGAAAAGGCAAATTTATTTGTTCAATCCGATAAGTTATCACTCAAATGCAAAGTATTTTTCACAAAAAATGTACAATTGATTAATAACTTGTACTCAATACAAAATCTGCCAAAGTCTGCAGAACTGAAGAAAAATTAAAAGTAATTCGTTTCTCGACTTTCGAAACATTCGAATCAGTACAGGTTGTTCTCTAATATTGTTTTGTTGCAATTTCGCTACTATCCATATCTTTCTTTAGGAAACTAGCAAAGTGCGATCCGTTCATAAGAATCTGTTAAGAATTCAATCTTCGAAATATGAGAATATACGCCAACTCTTGAGCAGTTGATTGACAATCNAAATGTTACTTTTCGTAAGGTTTTATTCATTGCAGATAACGGTTTCAAAGGATTTTTATTTTTGCAGTTTTTTTATACTCAAAATGATTATATTTAGTAAACCGACAATAGATATTGACTTCAACGTAGTATTTACTTCACAATACTAAGTCAAAAGTTTTCCATTTCAGAAATCACGAAGAGGCTTTCAACAAACACCTCATACATGCTTCTTCTCTGTCGAATGAAGAGGGTGTTTCCAAGGAATTCGAAGAGAAAAAAAACACTCATACAAATCGTCAAATCAACCTCAACATGCAACTGACAGAGATCCAGAAACAACTCATTATTAAAGAAAGTCTTGCCAAACAGCTCATGACCAACAATAAATATATAGTTGACTACCAGGCATTAGAAGATAACAACGAGAAAATATTGAATCTTGAAAAAGAAAGGGACGAACTACTGCAGCAGCTGAAAAGCGTAGGTAATTCTGGTAAAATTGCTGAGCAGCGTAGAAAACGGGTACAAGAACTGGAGATTCAGCTGGCTGAATTAGCCAGGAAAGTTCAAGAGCAGGCTAGACTCATTAAAATGAAAGCTAAAGATGAGGATAGAATAGCCAGACTCAATCAAGACATATTGCAAATGAAGCAAGTCAAAGTGAAATTGGTCCGGACTATGAGAGAGGAATCAGACAAATTTCGTCAGTGGCGGCTACAAAAGGAACGAGAATGCCAACGTCTTAAACAACAAGATCGGAAGAAAGAAAATGAAATAGTGAAAATGAAAGCAATGCATTCAAAACAACAGATTGTGTTCAAGAGGCGAGTTGAAGAAGCAGAAGCCGTCAATAAAAGACTAAAAAATCTTTTGGCTTTGCGAAAACAGAACCAAGATTCTAAATTAAATGGAAAAGTAGACAAGTTGGAACCATGGTTAAAACGAGAATATGATCTCCATATGAATTTGGTGGAAGCTGAGGCTACATTGAAGGTGTTGCTTGATGACAGAGCAACTTTACGCCACCAACTAGATGACTTGAAGTCAAATCCCGATACCACCAATTCTTCTGAATGCAAGTCAATAGAGGAAGATCTCGAGCTTCGCTCTGTACAGATTCAGGATTTGCAGCAGAAACTGCTTGATTCTGATGAAGGTTAGTAGAATTTTGTTTGTAAAGTGATTTATAGTAATAATAACTGAATATATTAAAATTTACATCTATTGATTTTTTTTAATTTGGCCTACTCTTATTCTCAAATATCAATTTACAGGTAAAGAGCTTGATTGTTCTCTGACCTAGGTTTCAATTGTATAAATTGAAAACTTCATTAAAATCTAATCTAGTCAATTTTTGGTTTCAGACAAAACAAAATCCCGGTTTGATAAATTCCAAACTATGTCCGAAGCAAAGTTTGGTCTAAAGTTTTTATTTTCCCGTGCTGCAGACTGCCACAGAGAAAAAGTCCACATTCAAAGTAAACTTGATGAAATCCAAGAAATGTATAATGAGGTAAATTAAATCTTTAGTATATGTAGATTTTTTTTAGTGTCTCAATCATTTCATCAGTAGTGTATAGCAGTGTAATTGCATGAAATTCTGATAGAACAGCTACTGAAATAGGTTAAGTTAGGATAGGTTTCATGTGAGTGGATCTATTGGATGTTCCATTATAGCATGTGTAATTAATTGAGAAAACAAAAATGAAGGTATTAATTTGGTGGAAACTGTTATTCTATGAGAAAATTTATTTATCTATTAACCAGCTGTCGTACTTATATGAACTGATCCAATCTAAGGACTAATTAGGATTACCGTTGATGTTTGATTTCTAGAGAAGCCAAGAATATTGCACCAATGTTGGCCTGACATTTCTTCATTCACCAAAACTGATAATTGTATTCATTGGTGACTTTAATATGGATACATTCAACAACAGGTCAGAATATGTGCAACTCAGTTATATGCCACTAAAATACAATCTATGTAACAAGGTTCAATTTCCACCAACAACAGGGATGACATAAATTTTCGTGTTTGAGGTGTGTACATAGCAGAATGATACATGGGGTCTTCAACAACATTGAAGACCTCGACTTATCAAAATAGCCAAGCCTTGCTTTGCTCAGATCAAGTGCGCTGAAGTCAGAATCTGAGGGGATTATCATGACCTGGATGGTATTTGCAACACCTCAGACTACTATCATAATCACGGTATAGGTATAGATAGGAGGAGAAAATTGGTATATAACAGATAAAATATTGAGATTTGCTCTTCAAACTTCGCAGACACACTACTCTTGGCTCATCATGTATTCTTAGAGCACACGAGTCTTGGATTCAATGATCGTTTAACTTGAAATATGGGAAGTGGCCATCGGTTATTGATACCGACATGCCCGCTATAGTATCGAAGCTTCGGAGAAAGAATTCGACTGGCAAAACTTTTTGAATGGAAAATACATTACTTTTCTCGAGAAACATCATATGTCAATAACAGGGAGCAAATGACATTAATGTAATAACAGTGAAAAAGAAAATTGAATTTGGGTTGGTGCGGAAATATCCACATTAAGGACTATTACAAAATCGAGAAACCCTCTAAACCTCGATATAATATTTCAAATGATTTTCCATTTCAGACCACAAATATTGAATCTTTTGGAAGGTTACTAACATTTGAAGGGTCGCTTTGCCAAGAATCCCAGTAATTTATATTTTTTGGGAAAGAAAGTTTTTGGCTTTCTACTACTCCATCTTGATTCAAAAAAAAGGGAGAAGAGAAGCGCCAAACAAACAAAACTCAAGACTTGAAAAAAACTTACTAATAAGATTTATTTTCACTATAATAGGTTCACAAAACCGCGACTTTTGTTTCATTATACAATAGCTTTCTCAAGCTGGATAATCCTGTAAAACTGATTGTATCAAATATTCAGGAATCATGATTAATAAACACTTGAGATGGAATTCACATATCTGCTAAGAAAATCAAGATACAGTTGACTCGCGATAGACCGACACGCTCGATATTCCGACGCTGCACCATATGAGTCATCGGTCTAGTATATTCAGGCTTACCTCAACCTGTGAAACCGTTGTGTTATGATTTAATATTAAATAAATTTCTTTCATTTTGGATATTGTTGGTCAAGGTATGTACTAGATGTATGTATAGATGCTTTTCAAAAATGATTTCTTGAAATAACGATGGTAAGCCTGTCAAATACTCCTCTGATCAATTATGTAAAGATGACGGAAAAATGCACATTGAAAAACAATTATTAAGTTATAATATTGTTCTATATATTTGTAAAAATGAAAACTATATTAGGTATAAATTGAAAGGGGTATATCTTTAGGAGAGATTAATTTTTGGGAAACAACATTTTTTTCTACTTCTCTATCATTATACAAAGAATGTGGGAAATTTCCATAGGACGAAAGATAGCAATTAATTTCATAAAAGTTACTTTCAGATACAAACTGAAAGAAAAAGCCCTCCTTAAACAAATTCTTTCATGTGAACATTGAATTATAAGAAAGAAAGAGTACTTTCGAAACAACTACTTTTACATGAACAGTGGATTATAAAAAAGAACTTTTTTCTATTCAGTTAAGTGGAATGAACACCTGCACTCGAGTTGTGAAAAATGCATTAACCTCAAAATTTCGAGCGGATCGGTAGGCGTGTTCCAGAATATGCAAGTGAGATGATCAAAGACAACTTTTCAAATGGCACATCTCCCAATTTACTGACGATTTCACTACGGAAACGGGCAGGCACGTCGTCGCGCAATCTCCGCCTCTATGTTGCATATTACAATAAACGCACATAGTCGGAGGTCAGGGTTTTATCTAGGTACTTGCTGTATTCACGGATAAATACCTAGGTAACCATATTTCTATCGATAAATACATGTTCGATTGTTTGGAAACTGTATTGTTATGGCAGACAGTCGAGAAGTAGATATGNCAAAAAAACTTCGTTCATATTTTAAGATTCATTTATGATTTGATGCCAGAAGTTAGATATAATACATTTTTTTCATACAAAAAAAGGTAAAAGAATGGATTAGAAATGTCAAAACATTTGTTGTTTTAAAAAAGTTGAGTTGTTTCTGTTTTATGAACTCAATACCTTACTACAATATTATTTTTGTAGGGATATACTTTATTTATAAGTAATGTTAATATCTTATTTTATATCTGATTTTTGCTTGAACAATTGTTTGAATATCTATCCTCAATTACTCTTCTTCCTGTTTTGAATATTTATTTTTAGGTCAAGATTTCAAATATCGATTGACTTGTTAAAAACCAAATACTTTTTTTTAGGCGACAGAAAAACTCAGAATTGCAGATGAAACTGAAAAATCGAATGCTGAAGCTGCTGCACAAGCCTTACTGGATATCCAGAAAGAATATGAGGAAAAAATATCAATACTTCTTGGACAGATGAAAGGTAAAATTTTAATGAATACTTAGCATGTAAATAGATTAGTTACTTATGTAAAAAGGTACTTTTTGGAAATTGAATGTTTTCTTTTCTAGAGAAAGAAAAAGTTTTGCAAGAACAAGAAGAAACTATTCGGACTATCAAACAGAAAAATGAGGAGCTTGTTTCAAATCAGGAGTATATTTTGGTAAGTAATACATTCCTTATATTCTTTGAAAGACTATTTTATTTGAGGAGTCGATGTTTTTTGCTGTTTGTATTCAACCTTCCTCAATCTTGAAAAGCAAAGAAAGGTAAATCAGTAAAGAATCTGTTGAAGTGTAATAATGGTCAAACTGAAAAGTTACTGCCTAATATAAACTACACAAAAGTTCAATTGTACTCTCAAATTTTATCTACAAACAGGATAAATGAAAAAATGAAATTTTAATACTATTTTTTTTAAATGGCCAACGTTACAAAACATAATCTCTTTTCGTTATCAAGCCCAAAAAATCTCTTTTGAAAAGCAG